AATTCTGGGAGTTGAAGTCCACACATCTTAAAGTTGCCAAGGTTGAGAAACACTGATCCATCAATGATGATCTCCCTCCTGCATTCCCTTCATGCCAGATCTTTGCTTCCTCTTGCTTTAGTTAAGTGATTTGGGGCACATGTGACAGGAGAAGTGGGACCTCGCACAATTACAACCACACCAATAATAGGGCCATGAAAATGTAGAGAAGGCATCTTTTCCCATTCATGGAGCTACATCCCCAATTTAGAAGAGCCCCTAGTCTTTTTAGCTGTCCTATTATGCCACTTCACAAGTCATAATACAAATGACACGGGATGAACTTCTTTTTAAATCTGTTTTGCCTGAGGATGGGATTATTTATTTAAATCCATGATCTGAACAAATGTTGTACTTCTAATATGTAATAAAGCCCACCCTTCCAATGAGGCAAGATGAGACTTCACACATCTTTGATACATTGCTTCTTCTAGCGCGACCCCCCAAAAAGCATTAGCCATTATAGTAGCTACCTTACATTTCTGGGTGATGTACAGTTTATTGTTAATTATCACAACCAAGTCCTTTTCTGGGGTACTGCTTCCAAGCTATGAATTTCCTATCTTGCTCCTTAAATGTAAAGTTTCCCTGTTGAAGGACATCTTGTTCCTCTTACCCCAGTTTTTCAACCTGTGCAGATTAAACTGCAGTCTCATTTTATCACTCTGGGTGTTGGTCACACCTTCCAGTTTTGTGTTATCTGCAAATTTGATAAGCAGCTCATCAATTTTGTTATTCAGGTCATTAATAAAAAGATTGACTAATACTAGCCCTAAGACAGAATCCCACCAGACCCCACTGCTCTCTGCTCTCCAACGTGATGTAGAGCCATTAGTGCTGACTCTCTGAAGTTAGATAGCCAATTATGGATCCACCTTACTAGAGTGCCATTGAAACCAGAACCACACTTTAACAGCTTACCAGTGAGAATGTCATGTAGCAAACTTGTCAAGAACTTTGCTGAAATTGAGGTGTGTGTGTGTGTGTGTATGTGTATGTGTATGTGTGTATATGTCTGTGTCTGTCTGCCTGCCTGCCTGCCTGCCTGCCTGCCTGCCTGCCTGCCTG